ATGGCCGAGCTGGGCGAGCAGATCGACAACCTCCCAAAGTATTCAGAATACGTTACTCTCATTGAGTAACGTAACGGAATACGTTACAGAATACATTTTGGGGCATGTATTCTGTATTTTGTAATGGAATACATTTTAAAAGTAACCTTCCCAACACTGTTCATACGCCATATTGTTTGCAGGTATTCTTTAAAGCTGGCTTACTCGGCACTCTTGAGGAGCTGCGAGATGAAAAGCTGGCCTCTCTCGTGACCCAGACTCAAGCTCTGTGTCGTGGCTATCTGATGAGAAAAGAATTCTCCAATTTAATCGCACAAAGGTGGCCCATCATTACAAATACTCCTCAGTAATCCTAAAAAACAACCACTGCAGGGAATAAAAACTGTATGTTTTTCCAGAGACTGCGTCTGGATTCTCCAGTATAACCTGCGCTCGTTCATGAATGTCAAACACTGGCCATGGATGAAGCTGTTCTTTAAAATAAAGCCACTTCTGAAAAGCGCAGCAACTGAAAAGGAGATGGCAACAATGAAAGAAGACTTCGTCAAGTGTAAAGACGATCTGGCAAAGTCAGAGGCCAAGAGAAAGGAGCTCGAAGAGAAAATGGTTTCTCTGTTGCAGGAGAAAAATAACCTCCTCCTGCAAGTACAAGCTGTAAGTGTCAAATAACATCCAGCCAGTCAAATCAGAGTTCGCGCACTCGTTATTAATGCTGGTATATCGTTTCATTTTCTCAGGACTCTGAAAATCTTTGTGATGCAGAGGAGAGATGCGAAGGTTTGATCAAAAGCAAAATTCAGCTGGAGGCCAAACTCAAAGAGGTGTCGGAGAGGCTGGAGGACGAAGAGGAGATGAACGCGGAGTTGACCGCCAAGAAGAGGAAGCTCGAAGACGAATCTTCTGAGCTTAAAAAAGACATCGATGACCTGGAGCTCACGCTGGCTAAAGTTGAGAAGGAGAAACATGCTACCGAAAACAAGGTTTGTGGTTTTTAATGGATGTTTTAGTTTTGGTGATAGGGAGGAATTGTCTGTGAATTGTTCTACATGAAGCGTTGTCATTTTTGATGTCGAACACATTCACGTGAAATGTGAAAACCTGATCAAACTTAATGGCAGTTCATGTAGAAACACCGTCAAGTTGGTGGATTTATTGCACAATCTGTACAAATACATGAGTGGCATCAGTAAAATGCTTTTCACCTTGCCTTTTCTGCTTTTATATAGATCAAGATTACCAAAAACAACAAGGGGCTGCCTTGTTGCAGCTCTATGGACTTAGACACCATGATTGCTAAGAGCTAAATGATAATGTTCGCATATTTACAGCTGCTTTTTAGCTACCAGCAAGTCTCACAACCT